GAACGTAGCCTGATTACTGGGTAGTAGGCACAAAGTAGAACAGTCCCACAGTTTATCCAAGGCATGTTAATTGACCTCGGGACCCCCAAGAATATTTAAAACATTCCACAGTTTAATATCATTAGCGACTAATAGCGATGTTGCCTCAAGCTACCCAGGGAGATGTTTTACATAGGTGCAGAACAGCTTCGATTCAAGGCATGAGCCCTGTGGGACACCACTTAGGACATCCTGCCTAAATGACAGACGGGGACCCATCCTATACATTGCTCTCTTCCCTGTAAGAATGCAAACACTAAGTGAAGGACGTGTTCAGATACCCCGTAAATGCTCAGGTTTTGTTATAGCCTCAAGTGGGGCACCGTATCAAATGCTTTCGAGAAACCAACGAAAATCACGTCTACTATGTATGGTTGGTGACATCCGGTTCCAGATTTGCCTGTCACTGTGCCGGGCTACAGAACGCCTGCGTCTACAGAGGAATCATGGGTGGCTTGCGATGCACGACCCACAGCTCCAACCACACACCCCATATCCAGTGTAAGCCCGAAGATATAAGACCGGGAGGCTTGTGGATATGAGCTACATTGCATCAAAGGAGCCGGTCCATGCTCCTTCGTTGGCAAATATAAGCAGGCTGTATTTGGAGAATTGAGCGCATACAAGGCAGTGGCTGGACCGTAGTCCTCTCTACACTGGATGGAACCACACTTCGGACCTAGCACGGTCAGAAGGAACGTGCACCCCATCCCCACTCCTCAGCAACGATTCATAGTCTCCTGGATCCAGTAATCGTGGTGGAGGATGCTAGACAGGTACACACCTTGTCAACATACACGTCAAACGCAGCCACACTGTGGATGTTAGGCAACAGCCATTCATATGAAATGAGAATATCACATAAAATAGATCGAATAAAGCATGCGGATATGCCGATATAAATATTCGCGAAAGGAACATGTGAACTAAATTGACTATCAGCGAATCCGAGACAAGTCAAACATGTCCGAATGTTATTTTAAAAATGCTACAAAAACGACAGTTACCGAACTTTATCACAATTAGCTTGATTGACATGGGCAAGTTATTAGATTACTCAGGTAGACAGAACAGACCAAATCAAGTAGAAGGTATTTTATCCAGATTAAAAAAGTAGTTTAAGTTGGCTTAACCCAACCGTGGTGAAGTAGCAACATGGATGCAGCATCAACCTCAGCATGAGGCACAAAAAATATAGAATGCTTCATGATTTTGTGTGGCATTTGTGTCGTTCCAATTTTAATACGTGTACGGCCGAAGCGAGTACGTATACGAACGATAGAACATACGTCATGAGCTCGAACTTCTTACTCTACGCCGAGGACATCAAGATGTAAAGAGCGATCCATACACCAGACGATATAGCGCTACTTCAAACCGAGTTGGATAGGGTTTGCCCATAGTCGATCCAGAAACTGCTTCGGTTTAACGTGTAAAATGTAGTGTTACAAACTGGACAAACAACAGCTTCAGACTACATCAGGTGAAAAGGATCTAGGCGTTTTGCTCCAGGCCGACCTCGAATGTTCGAATCAAGCTGAAAATAGATCAAGAAAGGGCACCAACACGTGGGCATCATGCGGCTTGTATTCGGACGATTCGATACCTCGATCTATCCACAGCTTCCCGGCTTACACATACCTTCACATGTGGAATAGGCAATAAAGACCTGACAGACATGGCTAAAGATAGATCTCACCGCCTTGGAGATACCCTAACGCTGTGCAACCAAAAACTACAAAAGCTTGTGCCATTTGCCTTATGAACAAATGCTACGAATGCTCGGGGTCTTCAGCTGACGATACCGGTGACTACATGGGAACCTTGTTTTGACTTACCAGATTTTGGGGAATCCCAACCACAAGTGCCACCGTCTACTAGGGATCAGTCACAACAGTGATCTGAGAGACCATCATCTCAAGTTAGCAGATCATTACGGTCGTTTGGAATGCGGTTAGAATTTCATTTCCTTACGTGTTTGCAAAGCGTGGAATGCCGTGCTGGAATCTGTCAGCAATGCTCCCAAGCTAGTAGAGCTCTAACATTGAGTTGATCGTGCGCTCGGTTCACTGCACCATCTCACATAATTCATGGCCAAGCACTAGTGCTTGTTAGAGATTTCCCTGACGGTCAACTCCCGTAATACTTTAGACCTCTTTTGCACTTCCTGTGTGTTCAGCAGGAGGCGCGACGATTTTTACCAACGTCCTAACTGACGTCATTCTTTATGGACTTACATTAGAGTTATAGCTTTTAGGTAGAAATTCGTCACATCTAAACTCACTCAGACAGTCGCCACATGCCCGGAAAAGCACTGCACGCGCGTTCCATCCTTTCGTGAATCATCGGCAGTGCGCATTCCATCGAACCCCTGGTAGGGCTCGAACCCGCAACTCGACTGTTGCCAGTCCGTGGTTGAGACCACAGAGCTATGGGGGACAGCAACGACCATCGTGAATAAGTTACTAGATGTGATCTAGCGCCGGTGAGAGGGCCACCCTGTCCTATGCACGGCAGTAACGTGTAAGTCAGTGGATAGTGAGCGGCGCTATGTCACATTCAGTAACTTATTCACGATGGTCGCTGTCGTCCCCCATAGCTCAGTGGTCTCAACTACGGACTGGCAACAGTCGAGTTGCGGGTTCGAGCCCTACCAGGGGTCCGATAGAATGCGCATTGCTGACGATTCCCGAAAGGATGAAACGCGCGAACAGTGTTTTTCCGGGCGTGTGATGGCTGTCTGACTGAGTCTAGAGGTGACGAATTTCTACCTATACCATTCAACTCCCCCTACTACTCTTCTGTCATAGCTTTTACTACGTATACCGCGGTGATTCCACCTGTGTGAACCTATTTTTCCTGACACGTTTTCCATATTTTGTAATATTCACTATTACTGTCCGACGGGACTTGTAAAGCTTCAGCATTGTTTTAACCGTATAAAGGTATTGGTCCATCGTTCCGTGATGCAGTCAGTCGTGTTTAGCTCGACTGAATCGACAACGCACATCTAAGTGCCTCATCAGACTCGATCTGAGTCATACACATTGACTGAAACCCACGGAGTGTGACATTACCCTTACTAATATGTTATGTGCAGACAACAGATGCAGCTTCTCGCTTAATGAGAAATAGACCTGTTATTTTTATTACTCTGGGAGGTAGAGGATCCTCAAGCTATTTCATAGCGCAAGTTTATATCAAAATGATCAAATCCTCCCTACTGACTTCTAACGGAGTAGGCTATATACAGGGTGGTGCACGAAATGTCATACCAGTTGTTTCGTTTATTACGCATATATTTATCATAAAAATCTTACAAAATTAGTGCAGAATTATTTATGTGAGTATGAAAATTTATTTCAATGTAGTATGTGTTCAATGTGATCACCATTTTGTTTCACAACCTCTTGCAAGCGAACCTTTACAATTGTCACAACATTGGTGCAAAAGTCTTCCGAAATTATACGGCACAACCGCATGATGAGAGTCCTGAGTTGAGCTGTACTTGGAGGCTTTTCTGCGAATACATCTTTCAAGAAGCCCCACAAGAAGAAATCGCATGGATTGATGTCAGTGCTATGCGGGGGCCACAGTCTCCCACCTTAGTGACGTTCTGAAAAGCAATGTGACATTACCCGCCCACCAAACATGTCATACAGGTAATCAATAACAACAATTGCAGCGTGTGGGTGGGCTCCGTCTTGCATTAACTATAGAGTTGGTAATTGGAGAAGTGTTACCAATAGTTCTGGAATAAATCTGTTTCCCAACATGTCCTTATATTGATGGTTGTTTACCGTCTAATCAAAGAAAATGGGTCCGATGATTCCATGGGATGAAACTGCTGTCCGTTCACTGACCTTTTCTCCATAATTTTCCCCTTCCTGCAGAAGGTGAGGATCTTAACCTGCCCAGAAACGAATGTTTTGCTTATTCACACACCACTGAAATGAAAATACGCCTCGTCAGTAAACCACGTATTATACAGCATGTGATCCGCTTGTACTAACCATGAAGATAACTGACGTCTTGGTTGTTTGTCCTCTGCTGTTAATGTATGGACAAATGTTATTTTGTAAGGGAACATTTGAGGATCAGAATGCAAGCTCCTTTGTAGGGACCGATGAGATCATCCTAACTCAGCAGCCGTCCTCCTTGTTGATTTGCTAGGACTTCGTGTCAAAGCAACGCGAACTGCCTACATGTTTTCAGGGATGCAGACACCTGGTCTGCGCAGTCGAATCTTCTCCACCACAGAGCCAGTTGATTCTAACTGACGATACAATCTCTGAATAGTCGTCTTACATGGAGCCAATTTTGTATGAAAATGTGCACGAAAACATCTTGGTGTCGCTACAAAAGTCGTTTCAGTAAAAAATATTACAACTTCCAAGTTCTGTCAAACACTCAATCTGCGCTTATGCACCATCTTGAAAACTGTGTTCGGCGCCAAGAAAATATTCCAAAGTAACTTCTCGTGACATCTACTTGATTTTCCATAAACTAAAATACAAGAATATGAGTTTTAAACATTACGTCTATAATAGTACATGTGTAATGAACAAAACAAATGGTATGACATTTCGTGCGACACCTGTAGATCCCAGGCTAACATGCAATGGGGTGGCAGGCAATGTTTTAGCTTGTTTGTTACCCTGAGCTTACTTATCCAGACTGTCCTAGCTCCGAACACAGAGTAGGCGTAACAGATTGTCGTGTCTGTCTCCAGGTCCTTAACCACTGTCAGTCATCATAAACTGATTATGACCAGTTCCGTTCCACATGCACCTTGCACCCCAAATTGTGACTGTAAGTAACGGGGAAGAAAATGGGAAAAATCGTCATGCTTACCATGCTCGGAGTTAAGCGGAACCATGATCTACACGCTATACCGGCACTGTAGGAAACCAAAGTACGCTCAAAGTCTGTATTACGTACAAACTGGACGAGTAACTCACAGATTTTGCGGAGGCCTCGGTTGTTACAGTTCTCTCCGATGGGGACTGATGGTCACCGACCGTTTCGGGTTCACTAATGTATTGATCGCAAACTATGCTCAGCTCCACTTGGTCACCAAGGCGGAAGACAATCATTAGATGGCCTGGACCGGAGTGATAGATCTTCAAGTACTCGTTGAGATGAAGATCCAGTGAACTGGGGAACCGCATTGTTGGATCGGATTTAAAATCTCGCCCCGATAAGGCGACGGAGGGCAAATGTCGTTCATTTGGTTCGTGGTGAAATTGTATGAAGTTAGATGAAAACACTGCTTGTAGGTTGCTGTGCGGAAGCAGGCGTATGTCAGGTTGACAACCTGATTGTTGGTTAAGACGGAGGTTCCGGAAGACAGCCCCATGACCTGTTGGTGTTACATAGGCGAGTAACTGACCTATTTGTGGTGTGGGAGCGGAACCTTTTGTCATATCCATTAAACGGAGGGACTGGTTGTGGCCATGCACTTCCAAACATCCAGGTTTCCTGGTTGCATTTGAGAAACTAGCTGGCCCAGTGGGTCCAGACTGCATCGCGAACTGCCGGTTTCCGCTCACAAGTTGGCCTAGTCGCTTGGATGTTGGTTTCGGCATCTGCAGTAACAAACGTTGAACTTTATCATTAGGTAAGGTAGCTGCATTCCTTGGCAATCTGGAGATGGATTCCCCATCTGCGGGAGTAAAATGTCTTGGGTCGTTAGTCGTTGAATCCACGCTTGCTGGAATATCGAATAGAAACAAGTAAAACCCCGTTTTCGAAGGAAGTGCTATAGCCTGTTGCCAAACTGGTCGGTTTCGCTCGATTCGTTTACCCGTTGAAGTCGATGAGCGACTAGAGGTATGGACCGTGCTTCCAGAATTACGGCGCTTCTCCATGGTGACTGTCTTCTGACCAGTGGTCGCTGGTGACCTGGGAACTGGGTCTAAATTTTGCTCACCAGGAAAACCAGATACTACTGGCGCGTATGTCAACGGTGTCGGTGTCCATATAATAGCGGGATGCCCCGACGGGTACCTAGAAGGTAAATATGAAGGAGATCCATGTGTGCGACCTGGTTATCACGCTACAGAAGTAATCACTAAACACAATTGAGCATACGATTCCGCTTGCTATGCATGACTGACGGCGATTGCTATAGTTGGCCAACAGCGTTTTCTCTCAAAGTTGCATCACCCACAAATATTTGACTAGGTACGGGGCATAAAAGCAACCAAGTCTAAAGGGATGGCAAAGTCTGGAGTGCTTCCCAGCTGATGTCTGTTTGAGTGGTAGCAAAAGAGTTATTTCGATCAAGCCACTGGCCACATATATAGTGACCATCAGAGCGCGACGGCACATTGTGACTCCGCACCCGAGGAGTAGCCTGCGACACCGGCTGGAACATATTATGCTGGAAAACTTTTATATTTAAAAGATTGTAAATGCACTGCCTGGTGCTTGCAAGTTATTGCTATCAATGCCACTTACATGCTGTCCTGTTTCTCCTGAGCAAAACAACTGATGGGGTCTGACTGGGACGAAAGCTATCTGAAGCAGAATTGTGATCCAACACACACTCTCGACCTAAACTTAACCAGCACTTGCACTTGCACAAACCTATTTTGAATAATTATTAGACCTATGCCCGGAGATAGCCTGAATTTCCTAGCAGTTGTTAAGCCCGGGGTGGACAAAGCGATCTGACGCGGTAATCATCTGCTACCCGTGTTAGTTCGGCATGCAGCAAGTTCTAGCGATAGGACTGGAATGTTGAGTTAGGTGTTTATTAGACAATGAGAAAAGCTGCCGCAGTAACTTCTCATCAGTGGTAGAACGGAAACCGAAGTGAATGGCAAACATATCTGACTCAGAAAAAGCATCCGAAACCAACTGTTCTGGGAAGAAGTTGGATTCGTGACAAATACACTTATTTCAGCGGCTAACGCACATGAAGAGTAGCACAGTTGGTTGTTTCATCTGCTTGTGACCCGCCAGCAGTCCGCGTTCCATCTGCACCGTGTGGTGTTAGGATGCGCAACTCCACTGCTGGGAGGCTTCTGAAATAAACGGACAGCCGGTAAACTATTAAAGGGGAGAGGTACAGTGACTTACAGAGTTGCCTCTGGTACTGCGCTATCCCGGTAAATGAGCTAACCAGTCTTTTGGTTTTGTCAATCCCTCCAAGAATGCTACACGTAAAGAAATCACTTTTATTAGTACACTGTCATGGTGACAGAGGTGTCCACGATACGTGACGAAGTGAAGCTACGCTTCAGCTGAGGTGACCTGTCATGATCCAGTCACATCCCAGACTAACTGCTGCTCACATAATTCCGAAACATCTTCAAACTTGAGTCGGACTATCCATTGCGTAGACAACGAGCGCCTTGAGCACCAAGACCACGTCCTGAGCGGTGACCTGGGTTTTTCTCATTCACAGCAATGTAGTTATTGATCCGTTTTATTTCCTTTTAGACTGTTGTGGTGGTGACGACCACATTAAGGTTGCGATTGTGATTTTGAGTCATTAGCTGGGCATCTTGACAAATAATCCAACCGAGTGAGCGAATAACGGTTGTGCTGGGGATTGGAGATCAATTTCAGCAGGTGGCAGATGGTGGTCCCCGAATCTGCCAGCTTAAAGGCAGATAAAAGAATGTTTTTTATAAAGGTTCTGGTTGAGAAAGCATTTGTTTGGTCGTTAGAATGTAACCAGCATTTTAATTCGTTAAATGGACTTCTACCTATCGAGATCCTCGTGCATTTTTTCTTGTGGACTGTTTCTCGGCCTCCGCATCACCGGCCGTAATTTCAAATGTTGACCCTCGGAACGAGATGTCTGTTAGTTTATGTGCATCTCTACCTACCCATATCATTCCCAATGACGGCCATTCATCCATCGGAAACTTCCGTTCTTACGGCTTGCATCCGATGCAAAAGAGCGCTAACTTACTCCCACGTATCAACATGCCGTATCCACATGCCGAATTTTATGGCAGGTGGCAAATTCATCAATTTACATAAACTCGTTTTGTATAGCAAGATCCGGGGGGTATACACATGTGTAAAGGGAGATGCTCTATATTCGTCCGGTATTTTAATACGAATTTTTGAGCGCGAGACTCTTGAAACGCTACCCACGTGTCAAGTTGCAAGATAAGTTTTCAACCATGTGTTTGGATTGAGATAATGTTCTTCATCTGGTATATGCCTGACTCCGATGCTACCCGAGATCTTGTCGTTCGCCTGACCGTTCGCATAACCTCTGTTTGCGGAGCCTGGTGGTCACGTGACCAACGGCTCCAGTTCCAGTATGTCCACCTATTGCAGAAACTTGTAGGCAAGAGTGAAACCTGTCTTGGATTGTACTACTAAGAATTAACCACTCATTTGCTTTTCCAGTGACAGTTGACCATTGTTCTCGTAAGTGCCTAAGGAAACCGACAAGCAATTAACAGAAAAAGTTAGCACATGTTTTGCATGAATAAACCGAACACTGAACAATGTGGATCACCCCCCCCCATCGCCTGACGTTCGCTTCAGTAGCTTACCGGATGGTCAGCGTGCCATCACAAGTGCACGAAAGCCAGCATGGAGAATTAGCATCGGGGGAAGAGTAATGCTGTTTCTTTCGTTCCATTTCTTGCTGACTGCATCGAATCAGTTTAACCAACTCGTTCAAGAAAATCTCTTCGGCATTGTTGGGTCCCATCTCTCTGGGAAGAGTTGAGAACCGCTTGGATAGCGTTTCGAGTGCCATGATGACCGGGGTACCAAGCGGAATAAGGCGATTCGTTCCGTCTGAAAGCGTCATTGTTCCATCTCCTAGTATCTGTTCCATTTGACGTCCGGAGAGTAAGGGTCCTTGCGTTGAGGCACAGTGTGTTTGTCTGAGTAACCGAAGACATGGCCTACGAGCATTGGATGACGCACCTGACGTACTGACCTGAAACACGAGTTTCTTCCGGGTATTTTCTGCTGACGTTGGTTGATTATTTTTGCCGTTCACGTAAGGATCTTCTGCAAGATCCGCACAGTGTTGGTCCTCTACCGAACATAGCGACGCCAGTTTTCTGAAAGTGATGTGGTGGGCTTGACACAAATTGGGGGACTGAAGACGCTGCATATGAGCTGTGAGGTCACTGAGATACGAATGATGGAAGAACAAGTTAAATACGCATGTTTGTAGTGCGGCAGCAGGGTGATTCATTCAGTTTTGATGAAATCGAAGGTGGTTGCACTATGCCACATCTAACTAATTAGTGAGAACGGTTGTCAACTTTTATAATAATCCAATGAGCGCAACTTTTGCTCCTAAGTGTGGGGCACCGTTTCGATCACTCCAATGAGTTGAGGCAGTTCGCGCCAATGAGAACTTCTGAGGGAACGAATGCAGTTGATCCTGAGGCTGAGCTTAGTGCAGTCAGCACGAAAGTATGTCGAAGCTGGCTGTCTGTGTGCTAGATGGTTGAACACAAACATAGCACTTCGATACTTCAGTGGCTTAACCTACGAGTGAATTCTGCTGCATGAATGGCGGTACAGCACGAATGAAAGTACAAACGCCAAGGAAGTCCGTAGAACTGGTGCTGCTCTCCGTTCAATGCTCCAGCGTCACACCGGAGAAATTCGGTCATAGCGGTATGAGTGACTGCAATAAATATTTTACACTGACTATACAGAAGGCTAGAACGAACGTTCGCCCTAATTTCTCTCTGTTTAGATATAGCTATCTGTGGAATAAACTACCAATCATTCAGGTCATGTGACAACGTGGTCGACTCTCGACTTACCTTGATCGAAATACCACAACCACTATATTCACCTGGGAAAGATCCCTTGAGGAGCTATTTCAAGAGGGGCATAAAAATATTTAAACACCAATGACTTTTGCCTCAAACATCCACCAGAACATAATTACATGAAACGCATACCCCAATAATCCACCTATGCATGTTGCCCATGCAATAGCATGCATAATTTTGTACACATTGATCTGCGCCGCTACAGACACAGTTTCTCACATCAAGAGAAATATAGGTGTTATTATTAATACCGCCGGCCGAGTGGTCTACACGCCTGCTTTGCAACCATAAGGTTCCCGGTTCGAATCCGCGTAAGTGTGGGCGTCCTCGTGGTATACTCAACCCACGCGCGACTGGTGGTGGGCGCGTAGCATCGAAGCGCCGTTAGGGCGTACAGCTGACACATTATTATTTTTTCTACTTCCCTCAAATGTACCATCCGCAAGCCTTAAAATGTCAGTCTCATTGAGTAGGTGGTAATCTCGAGCTCCACTTCGAACCACTCGCTGGCATTAGCTTATTAGCGAGGCTTCGGTGCATATTACACGGCCTGTCGCACGCATTTGACTGTCCCCAAATGTTGCTCTATTCTCTGGACTACTGATGCGCAGATTCATTTACGCCTAAAGAAGATTTCGTCTACTCCAAGTCAGTCTTCGCTCACATACATATATTCCTCTCGTAGCCTCGCTACTGTATTTGCACTGGAGGTGAAGTATATAGGTGGTGTAACGTTCATCGGTCGAACGTTGGAGTACGCCTAGCCCATGACCCCCAACACAGAACAAAGTTGCATCACAATAACTCAATTGTTCAGAATCCCGGTGTCTCAGTGTCAGCAACAAAGAGAATTTACACAACAGGAAGGAAAGCGCTGTGCACGCCAGACAAGTCACCACATGATAGACTTGTGGAATTGTTAGCAAGAGCACTGGCCAATCATCCACAGTCCAATAACCGAGTGATAGGTTTTCAGAAAGCACAAATACTAGTAAAAATGATGTCAAATTTGACGACCTGAGCATCACTCAGAGAAAGCGGTCACTTTGTTACAATGCCATGCAGATGGCAACATCATGTATAGTGCATGGGGCATCGGTTACCGATGAAACAAAACAAATAAAGTCAACTATCGTTAGGGAGGGAATAAAAGTGAACCACCGGACAATAGTGCGAGCGTACGAAGCATTGGACAGTTACCAAGGTGTACATTTGAGGGAGAAATGAGAGTGAGCACATTATCCGGGTCCTTTAAGGAAATCTTTCGGTGCACGAGCACCCACGATGAGCGGTCAGTTGAATGATCGGAAAAGTACGATCCAAGTACCAACCGGTAGAAAGTTCCAGATGAATTTTCCAACCATGCAAGATCCCGCTACAAGTGGGGTTATAAGCTGTGCAGCACAAGTCACCCACGGTCCCTCTGTGGAGACTGACGTCCCGTGGATGTTTGCAGTGTTATTAACTGGCAACTCCGGAAGCGGATGTCACTAGCTACTTGACTGTACCGTGTGGATTGGTGTGCGAGCTATACACCAATCAGTGAACCAGTATTTCTGACCAGCTGGCTACGAGCTTAAGTTGGGGGAGAAGCAACCGATTTGCAAAAGTTTGGTTGGATGGTGCTTCTTCCGTAAGAGACACGTTAAAAACAAACTGCATTTGACTAATGAACAGT